CCTCTATTTCCACGAAAGTAAAAGCCTATTTAAACTGCAGTGTCTCTGGATGCTGGTTTGTATGTTCTCCAACACAACTCTCACAATACTTCACTGAACGTACTCGCTCTCCCAATGGGAAGCTTACCTAACAACAGTCCTTGGTTTTATTACTTAAAATTCATCACAAAATAAGGAGTGAGAAGAATGACACAAACCCATATTCAGATATATTATATGCAAATTTTGCAGAGAAAAACTGCTAAGACAATTGAATTCAACAATGACATATGATTGGTCATGGTTCTATTTGAACTCTGCCTGGTCCTGGTTCTATCTGGTTCTCCATATATTTTGATTACCTGGACATTTATTTATTGATAACCATTTATTAATTTATTTAATACCTTTCTAATGCAAACATTTGTTTGAAGTTGCCATAGTTATAGTAAAAAATATTATGATTTTTTCACTGGATCCAAGTATTACTACTGTTTTTATCTGAGTAAAATCCCAAGAATAGCTAAACAGTCTTGGAATGCCATTGGCATAATCTGAGATAATCATAAATGAACCTTCTTCTTTTTTATTAAATTCATAAGTGCAACACAATATTTTTTTCAATGAAGACGTGGCTGGATGTTGATAGTTATTGTTAGGTATACTTGGTACATATTAATAAGTTTGATTCCGTATGATTTCAGGAATGACTGTTAATATTTACTTCATAGTTGAGGAATTGATACCATAGCAAGAAACAATCTTTTGCTCTCACTTTGTCTGAACTGAAAAACATGGACCCTAGCAAAATATTTTTTGACAGACATTAAGAATAAGTAAGCTGATTAAGCTATACACTGCATTTCATATTGCAATGATTACTACTTTCCAGTTGTGGCGGATACAGTTACAACCATCGAATTAATGGATTAAGTGATTCTTGTGATTTATTTACCACTTTATCAATCACTATCATCATAACCTTCACCTAACTACAGGAAAAGCAACATCAGCAACTTTATGTATAGCTGAAGCACTTACCAATCATTTTTCCCCATATCCAGAAGGTGGTTTTCAACACTCGTATTTTAAAATGTAATGGTTTTATAAATTACTTGATTTTCACCTACCTTTTCAGCTGCTTGGGAAGTGCAAAAAAATATTGGAATGAAGGCAAGCCATACTATACATGTAGTGTACATAGTGAATCCAATGGGTTTGGCTTCATTAAAATTCTCTGGGACACCCCGAGTCTTGATGGCATAAACAGTGCATGTAACCATTAGTAGAATGCTATACCCCAAAGAGCATATTATTTGTAGATCCGTAATGTCACATTTGAGAACACCTCTGGCTTGATCTGGCTCCATAGATTTATGTTCATCATAATCTATAATACTGTTTGGTGGATCAACAGCAAACCAAATGAAAACTCCAAGTAGTTGTACTGATATCAAACTTGATGTGATTGCTAATTGTGATGTTGGGCTAATAAGCCTGGGAGCTGTCACTGATTTTTTACCCTGTTCAAATATGCGATAGATACGGTTTGTTTTAGTCAACAGAGCGGCATAGCTTATGCACATTCCCAATCCCAGGAAGATGCGCCGGAAAGAACACACGGCAACATCTGGCTTGGCAATCATCAAGAAAGTGATGATATAACACAGAAATATTCCTGTCAATAAAACATAGCTAAGTTCCCTTCCAGAAGCCCTCACAATGGGAGTATCATTATATCGAATGAAGGTTGCCATGACGAATATGGTGGCAATAATTCCAAGCATGGCGAGAAAGACTGGGATGACCGCCCAGGGTGAATGCCACTCCAACTTTACAATAGGGATAGGGCTACATCCTGTGCGATTCTCATTTGGCCGTTGACTGTAGGAGCACAGCTTGCAGCTCACTTCGTCAAACTGGTATTGGTAACCATCACACAGTTCACACTGCCAGCAGCAGCTCATCCCTTTCATAATCCTTTTTCGTTCTCCTGGTTTACAGGGAAGACTGCAGACTGAAGAAGGGGTTTTCTTCACTCCTTTGCCCCACTGCATTTCATCCACCTAAGAGTAAAAGAACATAGAATAAATGAGACTGCTTATCCGGAAGTGACTATCAAGTAGGCCTAGTGGATTGGTTAGTTGATTAACAAAGAGAAATGAACATGAATATATTGGATTAAAAAAGAGATGGTAACAGCCAGGAAGAAAATGAGAACTGTTGCTGAGGGAGTAAGAAATAAAAATAAAAACTCCACTAAGAAGCAAATACTAAAGGAAATAAAGGTTATTACCATAGGGAAATAGCATGAAAATAGTTTCGATGGAAACCCACATAATTGGAACAATGCATTTTCTCCTATTAGCATAGCATTTCTTGCATTATTCTTCCCTTGTGACCAAAGAACAAACCCTTGGATAGCCAGCATAATCGTTTAGAACATGAAAAGTCCATTTTTGCAGAATTTGCTTGAAGTGTGGCCATAGTTTAATGAACAAGGGAAGCCTGAATAATCATGGCTCTTAAAGCTTTCTTGAAAGAGGCCTTTATTTTTTTCTTTTCAAATCCTGAATTATTTGTTTCCCAACACTGATGCCTTGCGTCACCTATGTGCGAGATGGGCAGCTACATAAATTTATTTAATAAATAATTAAAATTGGAAGCACGTTTTGATGTATGCATGTACAGTGATCTAGGTTCACACTGATTTTTAGGAATCCTGATCCACATTGTGTCTTCTCCCCCCCCCCCACACGCACACTGGAAAGATGTGAATAACAGTAAAATGGCTGAATTGCCCAATCCCTTATCTATATTAAACATACTATTTCAACATGGCTATTTCAAGCAAGCCTGTCAAGGATTTTCATTTTATTTTTAAACAAAGATCTCCAATTAGAAAAGCTGCTGCCTGTACTAGTCCCCGGCAGAATGAAAACTGATCCAAATTTTTAATCTTTCTTTTCCTGAAGTGCCCTACTATATGTTAAATAATGAGTTTCATTGAGGTCCATTTACCGACGCTGCAGATTTACATTGAGTGACATTGAAAAGATGATTGATAGACATCCAAATTTCCTCGGAAGTCACAATGGACTGAACATTCTGTTTCAGAATAAGGATTTATTTGTCTTTGTACGTGCAGACTTTTTTTTCCCTAAGTCACATTATAATACAGTCTGGCTATGCTAACAGAGACAATGACTAGAACAAAAATTGCTTTGTTCTTTTCTACATAAATTGGCCGTGTATGAGTTTCAGAAGAACAAGATATTATTCTCTGTGGGCAAAATGAAACCTAGTGAATTGAAGTTGTATGTCACATTCCAAGGCAACAATGGAAAAATAGCCAGAGGGATATCTCTAGAAGTTATTTTTAAAGATTCTTGCACTATACGCTAGGTACTTGGAATAGAATAGAGGTAGCAAAGGACCTTGGAGGTCTTCTAGTCCAGCCACCTGCTCAAGCAGAGACTCTATACCATTTCACAAAAGTAGATGTCCAGTCTCTTCTTAAAAACTTCCAGTGATGAAGCACCCACAATTTCTGAAGTCAAGTGTTCCACTGGTTAATTGATCTCATTGT